CCTAGCACTGCACTCTTCTGGACAGAGATCTCAGATGTTCCTGGGATCTGTTGGAGCCACTCTCCCAGTTTGGAGATCACAGCTCCCAATGTTCCTATTACCACGGGGACCACTTGTGCCTTCACCTTCCACATCTTTTCTAGCTCTTCTTTCAGCCCTTGGTATTTCTCGAGCTTCTTGTTTTCTTTCTTCCCGATGTTGCTATCCCTTGGCATTGCTACATCTATCACTACGACCTTCTTCTTCTGTTTGTCCACCACTACTATGTCCGGTTGGTTGGCCATTACCAGTTTGTCAGTTTGTATCTTGAAGTCCCACAGGACCTTAGCTTGGTCATTCTCAACCACCTTTGGAGGTATATCCCATTTTGACTTTGGGACTTCCAGCCTGTACTCGGCACAAATGTTTCTGTACATTATGCCAGCCACTTGGTTATGGCATTCCATGTATGCCCTGCCTGCTAGCATCTTGCACCCTGCTGTTATGTGCTGGATTGTCTCAGGGGCATCTTTGCACAGCCTGCACCTGGGGTCCTGTCTGGTATGGTATTGATCTTGTACTTAGAGCTTGTTCTTGTGCTGCCAGGTTTAGTGCCTCTGTGCTGTCTTTCAGTCCAGCTTTGTCCAGCCACTGGTAGGATTTTTCAGTATCAGCCACTTCTACTATTTGACGGTGGTACATACCGTGCAGAGGTTTGTCCTTCCATGAGGGTTCCTGCTCTTCCTTCCCTTGCTCCTCTGATTTCTGCTGCCTGAGGTATTCACTAAGCACATCATCACTCAGGGCCATCTTCCTGATGTATTCATGGATCTTTGTTGTTTCATCCTACATACGGAGGATTTGATCACCCCTTCAGAAACTTCAGAAACCATAAAAATAAAAGAAATATGTTTAATAAACATGCAAGTGACATGACAGCTGCAGGTTACATAATGACTGACAATGCTAATGGGCAAACAATGCCTTCTTGACAAATGTCTCTGATTTATGATATCTCTGGACACCTCCAAACATCATAAACATACTAAAATCATTAAACATTCACTTAGGTTGAGAGGAAAATATAGTCTTTTCCTCTCTCCTTCCTATTTTTGATTGCATATATTTCCCATTTGAATGCACGGTTTATTTTTTATCTTTGTCTTATTTTTGATTTTTTTTTCTTCTTTCCCATTTCCTCTTGAACTATGTAAAATTCGAACATTCATGTCACCACAGACTATTCACTGAATATTCTGACTGTAGGGGAGACACTCTTTATGCCCATACTTATCAGAGAGGTATCCAAATGCTATGGCTCCTAGCATCACTCCGAGGAAAAAGATTGTGCTTGTGTTTGTCAGGTTTTTTCTATCATAGACAAGGTCCCACTGAAAAGCAGATCACAAAGAAACTGTAATTAGATGATCTATTTAGGTACCAGTTTTCTGCTGGCCCTTAGGTGCATCTATTATCTGTAAAACTAAAATCTGTGTGTGTGCATCTTTTTTCCACATTAATTTTATTTAATGCACTGTTGATGCAAATATCTGCTGACTTAGGTCCTACCACTAATTCATAAAGGTTGTTAGTGATAAAACAGTGACTGTACCTCTGTTGCCAGGGTGGAAGTGAAGGTGGAGTTGTCATAAACCCATCCGCTCTGACACTGAACTGTGGGCAGGTCAGTGCTGTTGGAGCTGTTGGATAAGAGCTCAAAGTGAGGCTCTGCAAACATCTCACAGGACTTTGGGTCCCCATTTCCTCCCACAGGAACAGTAACTGTCAGTCTCTGCTCCTGAGTTAAATTTCTGAAGAGTCCCCCACCATCCAGGGTGCTGATGTCACATCGGTGAAGTTGTTCAGCAAAAAGTGACAGGGGAGAATTATTTTATACTATATAAGTATGTTAAATTGCCTGTAGGAGTGAATGTGAGTGTGTATGGTTATTTACATCTACATGTTAGCCCTGTAAAAAACTAGTGACCTGTCTAGCATGTACCCCGCCTCTCCCCCATCATCATCATCATCAACTTTATTTATATAGCACATTTAACACAGCCGAAGCTGACCAAAGTGCTTAACACAACATCCACAACACCCTTTAAAAAACAACATAAACAAACAGCAAAACAAAAACATCGTACTTAAAACAACTCCCCATCATAAATCACAAGCTCAACAAGACACAGGATCATACTGGTTCGAACGCCAGACGGTACAGATGAGTCTTCAAATATGTTTTAAAAGTGGACAACAAGGGGGCCTGGGCAATTCATTCCACAACTTAGGCGCCCCCACAGAAAAAGCTCGGTCCCCCCTAGATCTCCGCCTAGCCCTCGGTACCTCCAAGAGCAGCTGGTCGGCCAATCTGAGGCACTGAGAGGGGCTATAGGGATGTAGCAATTCTGTAAGATAAAGGGGAGCCAAACCATTTAAAGATTTAAAAACAAATAAAAGAATCTTAAAATGGATTCTAAAACACACCGGCAGCCAATGCAGGGAAGCCAAAATAAGTGTGATGTGGTCACTTTTACGCCCTCCAACCTATAGACAAGCAGCAGCATTTTGGACTCTCTGGAGGTGGGCAAGGGTGACCTGACTGAGCCCAAAATATAGTGCATTACAATAATCCACATGAGACGTAATAAATGCATGTATTACCGTCTCAAAATGCTGCCGTGAAAGAAAGGGCTTCACCTTTGCCAGCTGCCGGAGGTGATAAAAACTGGCTCGTACAACTGCATTCACCTGACATTCCATTCTAAGATCAGAGTCTATTTTAACACCAGTTTCCAGTTTTTCTTTACTTTAATCAAATACATGTAACAAACTGAACCTTAACTAAGGGGATGAAACATTTGTTAATCTTATCTATGTGGGTAAAACACTCACTCTTCCTAAAATTAACTATTTAATTTAGAAAGAAACATTAAGGTTTACATTTAAAAAAATATTTAGAGCACAACAAACTATGAGCAATGGTGGTCAGTCCTAATGTAATAAAATCTCTTTTATGTAATTACCCTGGTCTGTATAAAATCATTTACTGCTGTTATAAAGCCCTAAATTATGAGCCAAAACGCTCTGTCAAAGTGAAAGTGACACATACATGCAAAATAATTTGACATCTGTAATTATGTGTCATACAGGTTGACAGCCTTTGATCTAGAAATGTAGGTGACATCAAGGCCATACATTTTGACTTCACACCTCAGTTTGACAGGTAGTGAATTTTATTACTCTCTAACACAGTATACACTGTATGATTTAATTTTATTTTAACGTTAATGCTAAACTCTTGATCCACACTCCTTATCAGTTGGCGGCGGTAATGCAACATGCAACATATTTGTTACCACCAATAAACCTCAGAAAAAGAGGGAAAGAAGAAGAATAACAACTACCGACTTTTAGATCCACCCAGAGTTGGGAGTCCTGAGTATTGTTTAGTCTAGTTTAGTCAAAGATGCCTTTCATCAGCCTACAGAGTAATCTGCCGGCCAACTCCTTCTCTGAAGACTTTTTGAAGAGACTATGCTGCAGCACCGCGGCTGCTCTGGGGAAACCACAAGACGTGAGTTACATCTCAATCTGTAACCTGCTTACTGTACAGTGCTGTTCAGTGTCAGAGCTGGTCTGTGTCGAAAGCACGGTTGGTTTACTTTAATCCTGCCCTTCAGTTGTGCACGTGAATATCGCATGTTCACATATAGGGGCCGTAGCCTGATGTGCACATTTCCAGAAATGTAAGCGGCGCCGCAAACATCAAGGTGTTATTGGTTGCAACGCATTTCCTCGTTCACGTCTCACAGTGGCCTGACATTTACGGAGACTCCTCCCTCGTTCTGCCTCAGTTAGTTAAATAGTCGTACAGACCATCGTCTCTCATATCTTCTTCTTCTTTCGGCTGTTCCCATTAGGGGTCGCCACAGCGAATCATCTGTTTCCACCTAACTCTATGCTTGGCATCCTCTACTCTCACCCCAATTAACTTCACGTCCTCTTTTAGCACATCCATATATCTCCTTTTTGGCCTTCCTCTTGACCTCTTGCCTGGCAGCTCCATCTCCAACGTCCTTCTACCAGTATAACCACTATGTCCAAACCATCTCAATCTGGCCTCTCTGACCTTGTCCCCAAAACAGCCGACCTGAGCTGTCCCTCTGATGTGCTCATTCCTAATCCTGTCCATCCTGGTCACTCCTAAAGAGAACCTCAACATCCTCATCTCTGCTACCTCCATCTCTGCCTCTTGTCTTTTCCTCACTGCTACAGTCTCTAACCCATACAGCATAGCTGGTCTCACTACTGTCTTGTACACCTTTCCTTTGATTCTTGCTGACACTCTTCTGTCACACAACCCTCCTGACACCTTTCTCCACCCACTCCAACCCGCCTGCACTCGCCTCTTCCCCTCTTTCCTACACTCCCCATCACACTGGACTGTTGACCCCAAATACTTAAACTCCTGCACCTTCTTGACCTCAGCCCCCTGTAACCTCACCGTTCCACTTCCCTCCCTCTCGTTCATACACATGTAGTCTGTCTTAGCACGACTGACTTTCATTCCTCTTCTTTCCAGAGCAGACCTCCACCTTTCCAGGTGTTCCTCCACCTGCTCTCACTACAGATCACAATGTCATCCGCAAACATCATTGTCCATGGAGATTCCTGTCTGACCTCATCTGTCAACCTGTCCATCACCATAGCAAAAAAGAAGGAACTCAAAACCGATCCCTGATGTAGCCCCACCTCCACCTTGAACTCCTCTGTTTGACCTTCAGATTTCACTACTTTCGTATGTAGTGGTTGATAATAAATCAGATTCCAGAAGAAATATGTAATAGAACAGTATGTAGCTCATATAGACCTTATTTGGTATTAGCTTGTGTAAGGGAGAGCTGAGTGATTATGTGTTTATTAAGTTCATGTGAGGTGGTCAATGGGCTTATGTAAGTGGTTATATAATTAATACTTAGAAAATGAGAAATGTCTCAGGTAAATGGCAGTGAACTATTGGACTTGACTTGAACTACTGTTAAATTGAATCATCATCAGTCAATCTGTATTTCAATACCTCATTGTGACTTCTACTGTAAAGGCTTATTTTAATGTTAACTGATGCTCACTGGAGTCTTATTTTGGTCAAGTAACTTTTGCTCCTTTGAATTTTTTTTTACAAATGAAGACAAATAATTTGTGACTTAAGTCCCTTAGTGACCATGAAACTATTAGCACGAGACAACTTGGAGCTGTCACTTTAGTATTAAGGGTAGGCTAATCCTGACTTTATAACTAGAATATGTCCTGTGAGTGCAATCATCATAACTATTAGACTCTAGGTTTTTTTAATATAACTCATTTCCTCAACAGGCTGTAGATGAATAGTATTTATTAGGATGTTAGCTATACTAAAATGTTACCACTCAAAACAACCTAAAACTTATTGTATCTCTGCATCAAGAAAAACCAACTTCATTGCCACCTCCCTCTTCACTCTACGCTGCAATTTCTTGTAATCCTGTCTACTGTCTTCAGTCCTTTCTACGTCCCACTTCTTTTTAGCTAGCCTCTTCCTCTGAATGCTGTCCTGTACTTCCTCATTCCACCACCACGTTTCCTTATCTTCTTTCCTCCTTCCAGATGGCACACCTAGCTCCTTCCTACCTGTCTCCCTGATCACTTCTGCTGTAGTTTCCCAGTCATCTGGAAGTTCTTCCTGACCGCCCAAAGCCTGTCTCAACTTCTGTCTGAATTCCTCACAACATTCTTTCTTTTGCAACTTCCACCACTTGGTTTTCTTTTCTGTCTTTCCTCTCCTCTTCTTCCTGACCACCAGAGTCATCCGATGCTGTCTGGTTATACTCTCTTCTACCACCACTTTGCAGTCACTAATCTCTCTCAGATTGCCTCATCTACATAGAGTGTAGTCTACCTGCGTACTCCTACCTCCACTCTTATATGTAACTCTATGTTCCTCCCTCTTCTGGAAATGGGTGTTAACTCAAGCCATTTCCATCCTCTTAGCAAAGTCCACCACCATCTGTCCTTCTAGGTTCCTTCCCTTAACACCAAACCTGCCCATCACCTCCTCATCACCTTTGTTTTCCTCACCAACGTGCCTGTTGAAGTCTGCCCCAATCAGGACGTACAGCCGCCGTTGGGCCTTCTTGACCAGCTGTGTGGTGTTAACTGTCCGAGTGAGGTCCTCACTGATGTGGACACCCAGGTATTTGAAGCTGCTCACCCTTTCCACTTCGAGCCCCCGGATGAACAGTGGCTGATGAGTTCTCCTCTCCTTCCTCATGTCCACTATCATCTCCTTCATCTTGTCCGTGTTGAAGGGGAGATTATTGTCCTTACACCATGACACCAAACCGGCCACCTCCCTCCTGTAGGCTGCTTTGTCCCCACCAGGGATGTGTCCTATCACTGCGGTGTCATCCGCGAACTTTAGAGTGATGTTATCCTTATGGGAGGTGAAACAGTCATGGGTGAACAGGGTGTAGAGGATGGTACTGAGGATGCATTCCTGTGGAATGCCAGTGTTTGTAGTGATGCTGGCCGAAGTTTGTGGGGGTTAACCGTGTTGAAGATGGAGCTGTAGTAAATGAAGAGTATCCTGATGTAGGAATCTCTATTTTCTAGGTGAGAAAGGGAATAGTGTAGTGCATCAGCGATAGTGTCTGAGGTGGCCCTGTTGGGCTGGTAGGCATACTGCAGGGGATCCAGAGTGTCCGGTATACTGCTCTGAATGTGGTCCAGCACCACTCTCTCAAAACATTTCATAATGATTGGAGTGAGCACCACTGGTCTTAGTCATTCAGACACTTGACTGGGCTCTTTTTGGGAAGGGGGTCGATGGTTGTGGTCTTGAAGCAGGAGGGAGCGATGCTCTGGCTGAGGAAAAGGTTGAAGATGGAATGGAAGTGAGAACATCAGCCAGCTCTTTGGCACATGCTCTCAGAGCCCGCCCAGGGATGTTGTCCGGTCCTGCCGCCTTGCGGGGGTCAATCTTCATCTTTTGTGTACCTGATCTGATGAGACAGTTAGTGGAGGGGAGGGAGGGGTGTGTGTGTGTGTGTGTGTGCCTCCTCTCTGTGTTGTGTCTGAATGTCTCAAAGTGGGTGTTGAGGTCATCTGGCAGGCTGTCTGTGGAGCTGATGATGCTAGTGGTGGTCCTGTAGTCTGTGATGTGCTGCAGGCCTTGCCACATCCATCCGGAGTCAACAGTAGAATAGAAGCCATTCAGCTTCTCTCTGTACTGCCTCTTGGCCGCTGTGATGGCTTTCCTCAGTCCATACTTTGCAGCTTTGTACTCCATCTTATTGCCTGAACTGAATGCAGGAGAGTGAGCACGCAGCATGTGGCGTACCTGACTGTTTATCCAGGGCTTCCGGTTGGGGAACTTCCTGACCTGTACGGTGGACATAATGTTGTCAACACAGATACTAATGTACCTAGTCACATACTGAGCATAGTCCTGTACGCTGACAGAAAAGTCCTCCAATGTGGCTGCAGCTTTAAACACATCCCAGTCTGTCTGAGCAAAACAGTCCTGCAGGATGCCTTCAGTCTCTGGGGTCCGCAGTTTAACTTGTGTGGTGACAGGGTTTGTTTGTTTCAGTCTTTGTCTGTAGGCTGGATACAGAAACAAAGGAATGTGGTCTGAGTGTCTGAAGTAGGGGCGGGGTGCAGCCCTGTACGCACCTTGTATTTTACTGTAAGCATGATCCAGTGTGTTCTTGTCTTTTATTGCCCTGTGGCATCAGGATGAGCCGTCTCTAACGTGCTGCTGACATTGTGGAGTTTGCTGAGAGCTGCCAAGGAATTAGCTTGTGGGGCTATATATATAGTGTATAGAGCATTGCAACAGTCAAGACGGGAAGTGACAAAAGCATGGATTGCAATCTCAAAACCTTTAAAAGAAAGGAATCACATGACTTAATAGGTAGAAGAAGCTTGGTTTCACAACAGAGTTATTTATTAGATATGAACAATTTTTGCACTACTGTTAACTCCACAAGTCCTTTTTACTATTGCATTATTGCTGTATATTTTTAATGTTGTATATTTTAATACTGTGCTGAGCCAATGCAATGAAATTTCATTCTGTGTACACTTGTTGTATATCTGAATGACAATAAAGTCTGTCTAAGTCTAGGTGTATTTCCCTAATCTTTCGTCTAATCTGACTGTTGTCATTATAGTACTTACAGTACCTTCAACATTATTAAACTATTACCAAATGACAAATAGTCAAATCAAATTTCATAATTGGAATCGGAATAATGTAATGTGCATGCTCTTTCATAAGGCAACAAGTAAACAATATGAGACTGAGAGAACAAGAAAAAGGAATATACATTAGCAATATATATACACACAGTTTAGATGGAGTCTTTCCAGATATATAAAAAAGTATTTTTAAAGGGTATTGCACTAGGGTGGTTGCTGTGGCCTGTTGTACAGTCATGGGTTACATGTTCCGAGTGCCAGCCCGGGGGGAGAAACTGTCCTTGTGTCTGGTTGTTTTAGCATAGTGACCTGTAGTGCTGTCCAGAGGGGAGGAGTTCAAATAATTTGTGTCCAGGGTGTGAGGGGTATGCAGAAATCTTCTCTGCCCTCCTTTTGACCTATGCATTGTACAGGTCCTCCATGGAGGGCAGACTGGCACCCATGATCTTTTCTGCTGTCCTGACTGTTCAGTGGAGTCTGTTCCAGTCCTGGTTGGTTGCTGAGCCAAACCAGACAGTGATGGAAGTGCAGAGAATAGACTCAATAATTCCTCTGTAGAACTGTATCAGCAGCTCCTGAGGCAGGTTGAACTTTCTGAGCTGGCACAGGAAGTTGGACTTTACCTTCTTCCTAAAGTCCACTGTCATGCCCACTGTTTTGAGTGTGTTCAGCTCCACACCACAGGACCAGCTGTTAGTGTAGCTATTGATGTTCTTCTGGCTTCTTCATACAAATGAGGGGTTATTGGCTGAAAACTGGTTTGTCAAATTTTCGGAGTAGCTCCTCTTTGCTACTCTGATCTCCCTTGTCAGTGTGTTCCTGTACAGGATCCTGTCCCCACATCTGTAGGCCTCCTTTTTGGCATGACAAAGCTGCCTACGTTTTACTGTAAACCAGGGCTTATTGTTGCTATATGTACAGACGGTCTTGATGAGCACACACATGTCCTCAAAAAAGCTGATGTATGACATCACACTGTCAGTGAGTTCATCCAGGTCTGTAGCAGGAAGGTAGTAAGATAAAGTAGAAACGTTAATACTTCTGATAGCAGGTGCAATCAGATGTGTGCATTTCCTGTTGTTACATTTGGTTCATACTGTATTTACCAAAAAATATCTACCCATGAATCTGATGTTATACTTGTTTATGGCTGTTTCATGGGTAAGGGGATAGGTTAATTGTATTCAGAGGTTAATATATACATGTTTCCTTTATGAATTATAATTGTTTAATTGTTTATAATTGCCTTAAATTCACTCCAGTTTGTGCAGTCAAAGCAGGACTGTAGCTCTGACTTTGCTTGCTCAGTCCATCTCTTCATTGTTTTGACCACAGACTTCACAGCTTTAAGTATCTGACTGTAGGTTGGGATGAGATGGACCAAACAGTGTACAGACAGGCTGAAGGCTACACAGGAAAAAAAGGGCTAGGTGTCTTTTATTACCATGTTGCAGTGGTCCAATGTGATTATGTCCCAGTTAAATTCCCTGAACACTGAGTGGGGAGTTGGGATGTTTCAGTTCCATGCTAATTATGTATTTGGCCAGGTGCTGTAATGTGCTGGCATGGGCTTGTGGTGATATATACATGCTGACCAGAATGAATTTTTTAAATTTATAATTCAACTAAATTGGTATTTACTTGATTTGTTCTTTAAATTGTTAATTCTAATTTTGCTGTGAACATCAGTCACACATTACTAAAAGATTGTATGGAAAGACATGTGCTTGGCAAGAGCAATGAAGTCAATGGCCTGCACAACATGTCCATCATAATCAAGATGGCTGTCTTGAGGGTGGGAGGCCAGTGATGAAATCCACAGAGAAGTAATACCATGGCTGTTATGGGATAGGCAGGCAGGAGGCAGAGCTAACTGGCAGGGTGCAGCCGTAATGTTTTACAACAGAACAAGCAAGCTGAGACGAACAACGTGATGTTTGCTCTCACAATAAGCTACCAAAGTCTGTGTCGGAGGTACTCTAGCATCTGGACCCCACCAGATGAGAAGAGTGACTCTACTCCAAGACACAAGGGACAAACATTAATTTGGCAGGCTTACAGGATTCGGCTCACATGACTACATGGCAATAATTTATGAAGAGTGCCTTCTTTCTTAACTACAAAGAATGGTATAGAGTGAAGCTTTGATGTCTCCATAGGAGCCTCCTGGCTTGCAGACAACGGTATAGGACAGGTTTTTTATTCAGTGTGAGATGAGCCTCTCCTCAAACAAGATAATGAGAAAAGCACCCTTCTCTTTATTTCACAGATATCGTTTTATATGTATTTAATAGCCTCACTAATGTTATCATGGTGACTGTCTTTCAGAGGATGAACGTGGTGGTGCAGCCTGGCCTGCCAATGCTGATGGCAGGCTCTTGCTCTCCGTGCGTGATGTTGTCAGTTTCTGCTATCAATGTGACTGACACTGCTGAGAAGAACAAGGAGCACAGTGCCAAAATCTTCGAATTTCTGAGCAGAGAACTTGCTCTAACTGAAGACAGGTGAGCTCAGTCTGTATACTGTACCATCAGCTTGTATAATAATATGAGCACATACTGGAACAGTATGAAAAGTGTTCTCGAGCGAACAGCTTCAGTAAACGCACTGTTCTCTTTAATACATCCATGAAACACTCATCTACTTGAGTGGCTGAACATGAACAAATGAATGACTTAGCAAGATCACTCAACAGATCTGATGGGATTAAGAGCTCCGTCACATCTTATGAGGGCACACCGGCGACTGTGGCTGTGTTTCACGGCCAAAAGCAAGGGCAATGACGGCCATAGTCATAAGGCTGTCATGAAATTTATACCCTGGATAGAAGTCAGTGTGGTGCAGAGCAGGATGTCTTCAGAAGCTGACCTGTCTGGCACACTTCATTGATAGCTGCATGAACTGACTTATCCCTCTAATTTTCGACAGTTAAGGGCAAAGTGAGAGTTGGAACAAACTCAATCAGTATCCCCTCCTCTTCTAGCTTGCTTCTCTTTGCCCCTCCTGCCCTGTCTCTGAAACTATGTCATATGTGGTCATGACAGGCAGAGCCAATTGTAGCTGTCAGGTAGAGCAGCAGTAATAATTGGCTCCAGAACCTATATATAGAGAATATATAGCACTTAGAGCCTGTGGTTTTCAGTGGCACTGCAGTGACACAATATCAAATAAAGAGGGTTACATTTTAGTGATATGCATATGTACAGTATGTCTAATATTGATTGTAGCAGATGTATCTGCAGTAACACAAGCAAATTATACAGAGAAATGTTTTTTCCCAGTAATAATGATACAGTAGTAATGTTCAGGCCACTATTGCATCACATTCAGTGTTACATACTTGACACACATAACCCGTGAGTTGAATGTAAAATCCAAATCCATTTGCTAATCCAGGAAAATGCACTGGTTTGCGCTAACTGGACAATAAAACACTAACATTGCAGTCAGTTGGAATGACTCCAGATTACAACCAGAATAGTTATAATTACAAAATTGAAAAGCTAATGTTAGCTTGCTGATGATGCTGACATATATACATTAGCCAGCTACAATACTTGCACGTCTAGCATGAATAAAGTTACATCCGTGTGAAATTGTAGTCTTTGGATGCTTTTAGTGCTCTCTATCTCTGACATACCAAACAGATGTTAACCGTGATTTAGCCTAATTTTTTTGTCGCACTTTTTCTGTGCTACAGAAAGCCACCTCTGAGGTCTAACAGCTCCATTTCCATCAATGGTTGTATTTGGGTTTTTTATTTTTTATTTTTTATTTTTTACTTGATTTATCTAAATTTGTGCTAAATCTTAGTTAATGCAGCTTTAATCTCTGGTCTGTTTCCCTTTTAGTTTGTTTGGGCTGGTGGGAAAACTGTCAGTTAAACTCTGGTGCAGACTGAACAACTGGATTGAGAACAGCCAAGAAGGAGGGTCTCAGTCTACTTTCAAGCAGTTTGTGGTGTGAAGGCAAAGCAGACCAACCACAGAGCAAAATATTTCCCTGCTATATCAGAAAGTGAAAAAGATTTGAAACGGAGGTGTGCTTACTATATATCCTACTCCATTAATTTGATAGTTTCCATTTTAAAAACGTGAGTGGAATGAAGCAAGAAAATATAATTATCAACACTCACAATATGAAGTTGAGTTGCAGTCTGGGCTAATAATGCTCATAATCAGTTATTTCTTAGTGATGTTTTTGTGACACCAGAGAAGATAAACATTTATGAGTGCATCTAAAATATTTATAATATTGTAGAAATTTTTTCTTCCTTTTTTTAAATAATTCAAAAATGTAAACATATCCTAAAGTGAAATATTTCAAGCCATTTTTTTTATTTAATTTCTATGATTACAGCTTACAGCTCATGAAAATCAAAAATCCAGTATCCCAAAATATTAGAATACTTTCATTTCAGGTTTGAGTAAATTAATATTCATACAGTATAAATACTGTGCATCTCTGTCTAGTTCAGTACACGCAACTACAATCATGGGGAAGACTGCTGCTTTGACAGTTGTCCAGAAGGTGATCATTGACACCCTCCACAAGGAGGGTAAGCCACACAAGGTCATCGCTGAAAGGACTGGCAAAGTGCTGTATTGAAGCATATTTATGGAAAGTTGATTGGAAAGGAAACCTGTAGTAGGAAAAGGTGCACAAACAGCAGGGATGACCACAGCCTTAAGACGATTGTCAAGTAAAGCTGATTCAAGAACTTGGAAGAGCTTCAGGAGTGGTGAGGCTGGACTCAGTGCATCAAGAGCCATCATGCACAGACGACTTCAAGAAATTTGTATTATTTTGTATTGTGTTCTGTGTTCTTCTCATATTTTAATTATTATTACAATCACATCAGTGTGTTGAGTAAATTATTGACGGCTTGTTCTGTTCAACAGGATTGTTATACAGTTCCATGCTCTGGAGCCTCACCAGGTTGGGAAGAACGGAACCGTCATGAGTTTCTTGTGAAGGACAAAGTTTCTGATGTGACTCCATCTCAGTCCTTAAGGAAGCACAAGAAGATACAGACAGATTAAATCAGTATTAATCACAGGTTCAAATAAAGATCGGAGGTGTAGTGCTATCTGATGAAGTACCGGAGCACACCTAATGCATGTGTGCATGCCTGCACATGGTTAAGTTTTGGCTTGTTTCAAGGGCCACTTTCCTATGATAGCAACCCCTCAAATTTATTATGACCACTCATCAGAAGCCTCCTAAATCTATAAGAAAATACAGTAGATGCTCTTGGCTCCAATGTTGACACATCAGCTGTGTGCTGGGCTTGTGACTGGCCACCCTGTGCCTTACCTGTGTCATATACATAGACCTACAGCTGATCACCCACAGGTACACAGGTAAAACAGTCTGTTTAAATCACAGCATCACTTAAGTTAAATATAAAGTCTGTTTCTGCTGATGATCGTCAAATCTGATGTTTGTCTCCACGGCCCCTCCTGGAGATGATGCTCTAGTTTGTCAGTCTGAATGATCTGAGTTCTGTTCTGTCACTTGTCTTTTGTAAACAGGGTCTGTATTCAACACTAAACTGTGTCGCTGTGAACAACCCACATTATGTGTTTGAACAAAACATGCAAACCCCCGTGGGTGCCAATTCTGCATCTGAGCATGCATTGTTTAAGTCAGTGCTGTGAAACAATCACATTTTAAATTGCAGTATGACAGCTTAGAGCATTCCATTTTGCAGGACATACGCTTTACTGTTGATTGGATCTTCAATCACCAGTGTTTGGATAGTGCTCACAAAAATGCAATGTAATGAACTTCCACCACATTATTCCAGTAGGCCAATTCTTTTTACTCTCCCGGAGAGAAGAAGTGGCAGAGTGTTGCTCCGGTGTGTTCCAGCAGCACTACACCTGTGGTAAACATTAAATTTAATTGTCAATTACTGTGCTTTAATGTCATAGCCAGGTTTTGCATACAAAGCTGTAAAAGATGTTCTGTTCCATTCCTGAAATCACTTGTATTACAGACTGTTGCCGTAGTCCAGACTAGAACTACATTAAAGAAAACATCCTACTAGTTTCAGGAAAATCATTTTGAAAAGAAAACACTTTTTGTTTTCCCCTGACTTTATTCTCAGAACTGGAACATACATGTCTGTCTTGTGGCCTAAACCTCTTCTGTAAATAGGCCTGTAACTCATCACTAAAGATATTGAGGAGATGAACTGGAGTCTGTTTCTGTGTAAATCTTATACTGTCCAGGAATGAAGACACATTAAACTGCTGTGATTTGGAAAATATCTACAGTAACTTGACATGTATAATGTAGTAGAATGCCTCACATTTGTATTTTTGTGCATATCTACTTTAATCCTCTTTAGCCAAGGTGTGAATGTATGACTTTGGATTTTTGATATTTTTCCATTACAAGTGTCCATTTCACTTTTGTAAATATCAGAATCAGAATCTGCTTTATTGGCCCGGTGCGTCGGACACACGAGGAATTTGACTCTGGTACATCGGCTCTCAATGTGCATGTAAATATTCCCATGCAAGGGGCAAGTAAACAGCAAACCAACATAAAGCTGTGTAATATAACAAAATAAGCAGTATTAACAAGCAACAAACAGTGCAAACAATGCAAAATAAACAGGCAGTAAACAATGCAGACAGACAAAGGAATGCTCATTGTGAAACTAGATAAATAGGAATAAAGATAGAGTACTTAGAGACCTGTTTAGATCTGTATAATCTGTACAATGTATATTTACAGGTATTGCACTTAGGGTTATTGTCCAGTCATACTGACATGGGTTAAGTGTTCATCAGAGTGATGGGGGAAGAAACTGTCCTTGTGCATGTTTGTCTTGGCGTACAATGACCTGTAATGCCATCCAGAGGGGAGGAGTTCGAACAGATTATATCCCGGGTGTGAGGGGTATGCAGTGATCCTCTCCGCCTTCATTTTGACCCGTTCGGTGTACAGGTTCTCTATGGAGGGCAGGCTTGCACCAGTGATCTTTTTTGCAGTCCAATATCAAAGTTTTACACCAGTTTTATTTTACTTTTTGAAAACTAAATTATTTGGATTTGTCAGTGTAAAGATGAAGACTATCAGTCTTCAATTTTGATTGTGCCCTACATCACACTTCAGGTTTTTGGTTCAACTTTCATGTAAAGCTCATTCAAGATTTACTGCGCCTTGGCTGGTATGTGGACGAGGGTGGCCAGAAGCAGCAGGGGACTTTGACAGAAATCTGCAGTCAAGGCGTTAACACGCACACCCACTGAGCTCGATGGTTTGCCATAAGAAGTCCCTGGCTGCGGATTCGGACGAGGTCAGATGTGGACTGGGCTAAATCCAGGTCACATGATAGAGTCAGATGGCTCACTGATGATGAGGTTGACCTGCTGTAGATTAAACTTTTAAATTTCATTCATCCTTTTCAAAGTATTCCATTTTGCATAAATCTTTGTTAAAATGGTGGAAAATGAGAAGAAACATTCAACAGCTATAGTGGTGATATCACACCTAGAATGGGGAGGCTGTTGAATTTGTCTCAGCAATTTTCTCTAACTCTAACTTGTCCTCACAACCACAGTTTTCAGTCCTTTGTGATATATATATAAAAAAAACACGATGACTCAAAAACGTACTCAAAAGGCGAAGCCTTATAACAGTTCCTCCCAAAGCAAGCTGCCATCAATGAGCAAAAAAACTGACTCTTCAAAAAAGGCTGACGCCACCATGGCCTTAGCCATTGCTGAACATTGTTCCATGCTGTTCACAGAGATGTGATCACATGCCTGATCTCATGTGATCTTGAGATCAGAGCGCGCAAAGAGGAGCTACTCTGAAAAGCTGGGAACCAGTTTTCAGCCAATGACCCCTCATCTATGTGGAGATGCCTGAAAAGCATCCCTGGCTATGGGAAACCATCCCCCCCTACTGTAAAGGACCATCAACTAGCAGACGACCTGAATGTGTTCTACTGCAGGTTTGAGAGACAGAAACCCCCCCTCCACACACACACACACACACACACACACACCCTCCTCCCTTCAGACCCAGTGGGGGCCTCTAACGATCTCTGAAAAGGATGTGTGTGGCCTTTTTAAAATAACTAAAGATCACAAAGGCACCAGGCCCAGATGGCATGACCCCTTCCTGCTTGAAGGTGTGTGCTGATCAGCTGGCCCAGATCTTCACACTTATCTTCAACATGTCACAGGAGCTGTGTGAAGTCCCCTCCTGCTTCAAATGCTCCACCATCATCCCAGTCCCTAAGAAACCCTCCATCAGTGGACTGAACATCTACAGACCCGTCGCCCTTACATCTGTAGTTATGAAGTCCTTTGAAAGACTGGTGTTGGCCCAACTGAAGGACATCGTAGACCCACTGCTAGACTCTCTGCAGTTTGCCTACCGGGCAAACAGGTCAGTGGACGATGCAGTGAACATGGCACTGCATTACATCCTGCAACACCTCGACCCCCCGAAGGACCTATGC